TTACTCCAATTTTTTCAATAGTATTCAATGATATTAAAAGAAAGTGAAAAATTCTATAAAGTACCCAGAAAATTCTTCAAACTATCTTCAAAGCGATCGACCATTAGAATTCATCGACTTTATTAATCTATATTTTTTTTACTAATCTATGTTATCGAACTAATTGTTCTTTATATTAACTTCTTCAATTATATCCGTTTTCTTTAAAATAATTCAAGTTAAAATAAAATATTACTTCTCCAATTTTTTCAATAATATTCAATGATATTAAAAGAAAGTGAAAAATTCTATAAAGTACCCAGAAAATTCTTCAAACTATCTTCAAAGCGATCGATCATTAGAATTCATCGACTTTATTAATCTATATTTTTTTTACTAATCTATGTTATCGAGCTAATTGTTCTTTATATTAACTTCTTCAATTATATCCGTTTCCTTTAAAATAATTCAAGTTAAAATAAAATATTACTTCTCCAATTTTTTCAATAGTATTCAATGATATTAAAAGAAAGTGAAAAATTCTATAAAATACTGGCTTCAAACTGCCTTCAAAGCGATCGATCATTAGAATTCCATCCCACCGACGCTCCATTATCTAATCCACGTGTAACAAACGTGAAGTCTCACATTAAGTAATCGCTCGATACAGTTTTCCGCGATGAATAAATCGCGAATCGTTCGTTCGCGGCCGTTCATCGCGGAGCCGGTTGTAAATCGCGGTTCAAAGATAGGCCGGCAAGCTCGTTCCTCTCGAGTCGAAAGAGTCTGCGCGCTCGAGCCTCGGAACGCGTGAGCGGGAAGTCGGCGGTGCGTGGCTGGAACCACCTGCTTCCGGTGGCGTCGCGTCGGTTGCACCGTCTCTTCAACGGCACCTGTGCGTTGCATGCACCCCGCTGCGTGCCACGGTGCGTGCCCTACGACCCGAAAGAATCGTTCGCCCCGATTTTAGTGGCCGGATGACGGCAAATTCCAGAAACGCATCGATCTTTCCAATTCTTTTTTTGCTTTTTTGCTTTTCTATTTCTCTTCGTTCATTCGAAGAGCCGCTTTGCGCGTGAATGCGTCATTCACGTTGTAAATTTTTTCTGGAAGGTTGAAAATAAGTTGGAAGTTGAAATAATTAGAATTGGAATTGGTTGAAATAGTAATGCTTTCATGTATATGTTTTTGTATAAACTTTTGTGAAATTGGAAGCCAAATTTCATCATGATGAAATTAACATTGCAAATAATTAATATGTTCAATTATTTTTGTTTAAGATTAAGTCATTTTTCGAAGAATTTCATTAAGGGTGATGTTATTGGAACTGGTTTCTTTCATAGTGTTTTATTGATCAGCATGGGGCTACGTTTCTGCGATTGAACGTCCAGATTAATTTCTATACTCCATTCTTTCCACTCTAGGGCGAAAAAATTGAATTATTTGCCGCCATATTTCGTTCTCTTTACGAACATACATTGTATCGGCGTGATATATTTAATTTATTTCCAGCTTGGAAGTTTCGAGTTAAGAATTGTGCCTGTCCAATTTCTTTTCCATATACAAATGTGAACAAATGGTACAATTTTACTATACCCGATACAATAATTTCGAAAAGAGTCAATTAAAAATTCCTCTACCATTCTTTCACAATTTAATCGAGACGTTCATAAATCTAACGAAACACGACTTTCTCTTCGTCGCCGGGTAACAGGATTCTTCAAAGCATCCGAACTTTTCGCGAAAGTGCGTCAAATCGGACTAACACGCTTCATTAGGAGCTCGATTACCTCCGCGAAACTCTTCAAATAATATAATTCGAAGACAGCTCAGTAAAACTCGTTTCGAAAATTCTTTCGACTATCGAGTCTAGAAATTTTATATTGAACAAGTGGGGAATCGAGGGAAATCGATTTCATTTGATATTATCCTGGCATTAAATTAAAGCGTTAACAATGGTTAAAACGGTCGGTAGAAAGTAGAGAAAAAGCAAAAGATTCCGTGATCCTCGTAATTTCGCTTTTGCGTGACACGTACATCGAAGATTGCATGCGCGCGCGTTCCTCGAGAGATGGTAATCGAATTTTACAGTGGAACAACATCCTATTTAACTTCCCTTTAACTCTTCTTTCCGTGAGCCGTTGAATCTATCTCCTCTAACATTTTCAAATATTAATTAAATTCCATAATACTCTCCAACTTTCGTTAAATTTTCCACTCGATGAATCCAATCTCCATCATTCTCAAAAAATAAAAGAAGACAGTTTCGACTGGGTGCGAAAATAACGCCTAGCCAAATATGCGACACGGATTCGTGGAGGGACATACCAAGTCCAAAAATACGAATATATATTCGATATCGAAGAAGAAGCGTGTCTTCGAGATGGGAATAAGGATGGAGTTATTCACGAGTCATTCTCCGCGGCGAGCCACTCTATTTAACTCGATTTGGAAAGTTACGATGACGTGAGTTCATCGGGAACGTCAAACCAACCATTGCTGGTGCTGCAACCTTGTCGTGAGCAAGGTGGTCGCATATGGCGGTGCGCACCTGTTCTAAACGCAACTGTCGCAACTGTTCTCCAAGAGGGTGGCCTCTGAAATTTAAAAAAACGGAAGAATGGCCGGGCGAATCGATGAGGCAGGGACGAAAATAATGGAATACTTAAGCGTACGCCGAAGTGAAGATAAACACGCTTTTAACACGAGATCGTGTAATGAAAATTTTTATTCCACGCGTAAACTCGTACTCGTGCTCTTTTGATCGAACGATTGCGCCACCCTGTTTGTTTATACGATGTCGTTTAACGCGGTGCGGTTGAACTAGATTGCTCGAGCCACCTCGAGTTTGTTATTTTTGTTCCTCGGGAAGAGGAAGACGCGAGGGGCTTTTCACTCTCCTTACAAACATTTCCCTGATTGAATCGAGAAATTAATAAAACTCGTTATACATCGCGAGAGAAGCGATCAAATTTACGAATCTCTCTAATCGAAAATTCTCTCGAAGAAGCATCGAATAATCGGAGAAAAACTCTTTAATAATCCGGATGAGACGAGCTTCTTTGATATCTCTCTGTCAAGGTCACCTCTTATCGAGAGATAATTCTCTTCACTTCCGGGAATCTATCGTCTAAGAACAGTGGATAAGTTGGACGAAATCTCGGGAAGGGCGAAGGTATAATTTTTCTACAACGTGTGGATTAAGAAATCGACGACGGCATGCACACACACACACACACACACACACAATCGCGTCGGTTTACACACCGTGACGGCGGGCAAAGAACAGCAGGAGAAGAGGCACATTTCCCCTCTCCATTCACCTCTTCACGAGTAGTCGGAGTCCTGGTTGGCTATAGCCCAGAGTTCACAGTCAAACGCAAACAGTGGCCGCGGCAAAACAGATCGTGGCACGAATGCACGAAAAATCGGCGTTCAGACGACTGCGGCACGCGATCGATCGGCATCCAGATCGGCGGCGACCGGTCGCTCCGATTTTCATCACCGCGATTTTCCAATTTTCGGACCCGTCGCGGCGTTCCTTCGATCGATAACGAACGAACGAACGAACGAACGAAATTTAACGAGGACACGAAGGGACGTTCTACTATCGTCCTTTTCCGTATCCCTCCGCATGACACTATCCAAAGAGTTTTCGAACGAAATCGGGGATATCGAGTGCTTACGAAAAAAAGAAAAAAAATTGAAGAACTCTCGAAGAGCAAGCGGATGGATGATAAATTAGTTTCACGTGCGAATAAGTGATCGATCGATTCTCGTGCATCGGATCGAAAGTGAGTGAATCAGATCGAGCAAGAATGGGGGTGAAGAATTTTATCATGAAGAGGATACCGTTCTGTAAGATGAAAGCGAAGAGGAAATATCGTAAGCCTGCCATTTTCTTCGCCTCTTCTCTTCTCTTCCCTTCGCCCCCGTTTATACAATCGACAGATGGAAAAATTTATTATCACGAGTTGATATTATAATAATAATAATAATCGGCAAAAACCTCTCTCGAAATCTCCGATGCTAACATTACTGTTTTTCTGCGCGGTATCTAAAACGAATACGATAACAAATTCTTACATCACGACGATTTTCCTCCACGGGTCGTGTTTTTACATAAATTATCGCCTATTATCGGTTTGCATATATATATATATATATATATCGTATTTGCTCGTTCCTACCTAGAAGTTTCGTGGCTTCGTACATATGCATTGGTTTCGTGGATGTCGGGGAGAAACACGCGTTCGTTTCATCGAATCAACCAATGTAATTAAAAGATATTTTATCCGAAGGTCAGAGTGAACCGAGAAATTCATTATCATCGCGATAACCGATCGCTTTGACCTCGACAGAAATTCGTAATCTCTTCGAATTTCTTTTTTCTCTCTTCTTCTGAGAGGGAGAGAGGAGAGGGAGAAAAAAAAAAAGGAAGCAATCGAATTATGGAAAGTGGAAGAAACCGTTTAATTAATAACAGTATTTCACCATTTCGAGTCAGATTAAATCGGAATATGCACGAAGATTAGTTCGAGTGTATCGAGATGATACACTCCCCTTCCTCTTTTCTTTCCCCTCTTCGCGCAAATTTCTCCAATCTTCTTGAAATCATTTCGATCATTTCGTCGTTTCGTGCATCATCCTTATTTAAAATTTGTTCAAATGATGATTATTCATAATTATGTACATCTTTCCTTCTTAATTAAGCATTTCTCGAAATAATAGATCTTAGAAAAAGATACGAGTAAAAGAGGAAGAAAGGTTTAATTATCGATCGTACAGGTGAAAGAAGAAAGATATATATATATATATATAGAGAGAGAGAGAGGGAAAAGGGAGAAGAGACATCCGAGGAGCAGCAGCTGAGCCGTGTTCCTTTTGACTCGACTTTCACGACCGACGACTCTTCGTTTCGTTTTTTCCGTGGAATGCAACGCTCGTTGTTTCTAATCCACATGTTGAACGCGGCCGAGAAACCAGCTCGCTCCATATAAAGGGGGACGTAACGATTACGCGCCATTATTTACATGACGTTCGTGCATCGTTCGCGTTGTCACGACAAGTCTCGCGTGAGTATCGTGTCCAACCCTTTTAAGGATATTCGCCTTGTGGATGATGGCTTAACGCGGCCGACTTCGCGGGGAAATTTTTCATGGACGCATAGATCGCGTGTCTCGACGATTTCTAAAGTTCCGCCGTCGTCTATCCTCGCCTCGATGGATTCTGTTCGAAAGAGATCGAATCAGGAAGCGAAGAGGGAAGGAATATTCCATGATTCCAATTAATTTGCAAATTCGGATTCATCGAAGTGTTTCCTTTCTATTCTATTCTCGAATTATCCAAAAGAAAAAAATTTACGTAAATTGAAATAAATGATGAAATTTTTCGTCGGCAGAGAAGTTGAAAATTATGGTGTAAAAAAAGAAAAGATTTTTGTTTTACATCGAGAAATATAAGATTTTCCATTTAAAACGATTGAAATGGAATAAAAAAAAAAAAAAGAAACGTGCGCGGATTTATGAATGTTCGCCGAGAGATTAAGGTGTTGGAAAGGCGATTTAAATTCATGAATTTAACGAGGAGCAACAGGGATCGATCGATAACGAACGAATCGTTTGTTCGTGTAGATGGATTTTTTTTTTTTTTTTTTTTTTTAGCATAATTTATCTCCAACTGTTTCTGCTACGATTAAATAAACTTTATACCAAGAGTCGATTTTCATCTCGATATCGAATTCAATTCGAGAAATTCGTTTTAATCCCCTCTTCCCGCGAGATTAAATATTATCCCTTTCCTCTCTGAAAAGAAGAATAAATTCTCGATACTTTCATTTTCCGATGAACTTGTAGGTGTAGCCTTAAACTGTATTATGCTCGAGTACACAACAATCGCGAATAAAGTGAGTGTATACTCGATACTCCGTAATTCCGTATCCTGAAAAAGGTCAACGAGGTAGTCCCAGATTCCTGAAGAGTCTCGATGTTGGTTAAACTCGCATCTCTTAACCGATCCGGACAAATATCCGATAAATTTAATAAACTACGTGTCCATTATATGATCCAAAATTCGTTCCAATTGCACCGTGGCCAAAGTAATTTTAAACACGTCGTTCGAGATCCTAAAACAGCACTGACTTGCAAGAAGAGTTTCAGAGGAGAAACCGAGGCAAATCTTAAGCGTATTTTAAACGCGTTTAAAACGAGGGGAAAACGAGTTACACGTCTTATTTTTTTTTTTTTTTTTTTCCCTCATAACGTGTTTCGAATCCAATTTTTCAATCCGATCTTTCGTCTTTATTGCCGCTATTCTATTCTCAAATTATCCAAAGAAAAATTTACGTAAATTGCAATCTTATTTCCTTCACCTCGATCGCTCGAAATTGAACAACGCTCCCATTCTTTTTTCAATCGAGATATCCTCTTTGACGCTTATTAATTTCTAATTTGGAAAAATAAATCAACTCATTCCCCAACTCTATAAAAAATGTTAAGTCTTTTCTTCCTCTTACGTTTAAATGATACATATAAATGATTTTCACGACTTAAATATTTTATTGTATGATGGATTAAACCCTTTGGCATTAGGCGTTTTGACAATAGGCACGTGCGTCACGATATCGTCAAACGTCGTGGCACGACGAAACGTCTGGTCCTTTGTTGCCTCGATCCGTTTTCATGCGCTCCCTTGCGCAACGATCAATTAAAAAAGGAAAAATTGAACGAACAAACGGTGCAGGTGAACACGAATATCTTACGCAACTCGCGCTCCTTTCGCGCGGAAAAAGGTATTGTTCTGGGAGAGAATCGAGCGCGAGAAGTTGTATCGGTATTCCTTTGAACTTCAGCGTACACGTGAAGTTTTTTTGGTCTTTCAAAAAAGAAAGTTTGCTAATTGTAAATAATGTAATGCACCTGTTCCGATTTTATAAGTAATTAATTGTCAATGCTCGTGATGAGAAACGTGTTGATATTTGAGTCTTTCTCAAAAAAAGAAAAAAAAAAGAAAAAAGGAGAAATGCATTTTTAAAGTCTTCCGTCCAATCCTTGTATCCTTGCATTTCCTTACTTTTCCTAGCATCGTGGCAAAAAAAAAAAAAAAAAAAAAAAATATTGGGTTCGACGTGAATGGAGTAAGTTGAATCCTCCGAACTTTCTCGAGGGTGAAAGTTGGCGGATATTGTGCCCAAATCGAAGGATCCTTCCGCCCAGGCCCAAGATTTACGGCACAATAATTTCGCTGTTGAGCCCCGAAAGTGATTTATGACTCTAAACCGTGCGCTAAGTAGTAAGTAAGTAATTACCTATCGATGGTAAAAAAGGGTAAAAGGTAAATTTCCTCAAAAATAACGAATCATCGTAAATCTGTCAATGCTGCAGTGATATACAGCTTACAATATGATCGGTTGACATATTGCGAAGTGCGCGTTAACGCGTTAATTCAATTTTATATATGAGACGCAAGAATAGTTTTGGATCGGTAGAAAGCCAGGATGTTCTAGAAATGTTGAAATACAAAATATCTTTCAGATAAACGCATCAAGCATCGTTACTTTGCGCAGTGGAATACAAGGTTATTCCACGTGTATAAATATCCAATAATTTTTCTTTTTTTTTTTTTTTTTTTTTTTTTTTTTTTTTGCAATTTGTCGCTTTTTCAATGATATTCAAATAATCTTTCAATATATATATATATATCAAGAACACGACCTTAAGTGTCAACGACACGACCTCAATAACCACGTCGAATGACCTTGCATATCAATTATATACGACCGCAATGATCCCGATCACCTTTTCTAACTTTTTTACGACCTCGACTGCGAGAAGGACTGCGAGAAAACCTTTATTCATTGCTCCAATGCTTTCGCTGATCGATCATTTGACGAAAATCTATCAAAGTATAGCTATATTGTTCTAAGAGAAAAAATATAGAGAATTGGAAATACGTGTGAAAAGCTATAATGTAAAAACTCGCCATGTTTCTGTGATTTCGACGGTTAATATATCAACATAATATTCATCCGTGTTGCGTGACTTATCCTGCGTAACGTTTAATTAAGCTAAAAGTATTAAACTGGTTAAATATTTCTACCCTTTCTATCCTTGACAAATCATCCACTCTCTTTTCGAGTGTCAAGTTTGTTCGCGTTTATTTCGATCGACATCGATTCCATTAACCGTGTCAAAATATTTACCCTGATCTTAATCTTAACATTTTTGTCGCATTTTCATCGCCCAGTATTCGATATCGTACGATACGTTAAAAAAAAAAAAAAATAAAAAAACGTATCGATCCAATGGCAATTTCGAATAAAGTTGAAGGATGAACATCGCCCAGTATTCGATATCGTATGATAAAAAAAAAAAATAAAAAATCGTATCGATCCAATTTCGAATAAAGTTGAAGGGTGAACATTATCATTATTATCGCCGACCCGATAAAAATATTCGTACGTTGCAATAATAAATTTTGTGTTTGTGGAAGTCGTTACACTCGAAATATATCTAATTTATATCGCGGAATATCGATTCGTTCATTAATGAAATATATTGCTTTGCTCTCCGTTTAATTTGATCAAACGATAAATTTGCGCGCGCGTATATATGTATGTGTGTGGATGGATGGAAAATAGCAAAAGAGAGAAAATATTTAAATTACTATATGATATAACAAAACGTTCATTTCGTTGTTAAATTGTAATTCTGTATTAGAAAATTCTTTATTTGAAAAATATCCCTTTTCATCGTAGGAAGATTCACTTTATACTTCGCTCCACTTCCATTAAGTAACAATTTATCTCGTTACGTCGTAATAGTTTCTTTGAATATGCAGAATATTCATGCTCCGTACATAACGAAGTATAAAAGTACAATATAAAAGTTCAATTCGATTAAATTTTATTCTCCATAATATGTATATTTACTTGAATTAATTCTTCTATTCATATACCTTAAATTAAACCTTCAAAAATTATCCCATCCAATTTCGTTTCCAATCTTAATTATTAATCGACGTTACAAAATAATTAAAACGTAATTCGTAAAATTATATTTCTTCCTTCGATTATCCATCCGTTGCAAAATTTTCTAAATACTAACTTGAATAAAAGTAGGAGATTAAAAAAAAAAAAAAGAGATTGAAAAATAAAAAAAACTGTTTAGATGGAACGAACACGGCAACACCGGTGCAAAACAATGGGCAGACCGAACACGCGGCTGGTGATTTTGACAGCGCGAGTGTCGGAAGCGGAAACTCGAATCTCAGCACTGGCGCGCTACAGGTAGGTGCAACAAGTACGCAAAATCGAACTCGAACTTGTCAACATTTCCAACCGAATGAAACTGTGTTGCCGCTTTAATAACGGTGTGTGCGTGCGTGCGCGTATTTGCAGAACATCAGAGAGCAAATGGCCGCGTCGTTGGAACGGATGAGGGAGCTGGAGGAACAGGTCAAGGCGATTCCCATGTTGCAGGTAAACACGGCTGCGATAATTTCACCTCCGATCCGATGCGTGCATCCCTGTCCATCACGTTCAACTTGTTCGTTCCAAACGAGGAGAAGCAGTAATTGCTTCAGCTTTG